AAAATCTGTATAATTTTGTCTTTAGTAAGAAAAACAAGAAGTTCACAACTTTTTAAAGTCAAAATTTAGTAAGTGACTCGCTTCCAATTGGTTGGCTCAAGGACTGTACAGTCCTGTAGTTTCATCTGCAATCGTCTTTTTCAGTTACTTGAAACCATCTAGCAAAAATAAAACTTACTTTAAGGCCTAATGAATTAAACTGTAATAAGCTTATTACAAAAAATGATCAATGAATTTTATTCACTATTAAGCACCAAGTTACATTATTTGTCGATATCTAATGGTTAGTTAGTTTTTCACAAGAATGAAGCAGAATATGAGAGGAATCGATAAACTCTAAGGAGGTTTGCAACAGATTCTGCAGAACTAAGGAATAAAGGCTCTTTTAGAAAGGGTAGAGACAACTGTTTAAGCCTAACCAGTTGATTACAACTTCACTTAGCTTTTGGAAAGTAAACTTAAGGTTGATGTAAGTCCCAAAACTTTTCAAAAATGGTTCCAATAAAGTGAACAGATAATCACCGTTTAATGATACTTGTAGTTTCTCGTTGCTATACTGGGTCAAACCGCTCAACCTCTGTTGGCAGACAGATTCCTATGTGGATGCCCGGATACAGCTCGGATGTTCACTATATTTTAGTCTATTGGTTGGGTAGCAGTGGAATCCAGACCAAGCAATACGTCCTATTTGAGACTCATCAGACATTCGAATAGGAGCCCATCTGTCAACAGAAGTCAAGCGATTCGACCCAGCATGACAAGGGAAAACTACAAGTATCAACAGACAAAAACTATTACCCGTTGCACAAGTGATGACTCTCATGCCACAGTAGCCTAGTGGATAATGTTTCGGCGGTTGAAGAGATAGGTACTGGGTTTGAGTTTCAGTGCAAACAATGCCACTTACTAGGGTGTTGATACATCCAGCTGACAAGTCCTAAATTGGGCGAAAAGCGCGTCCTGGAGCTCACTGCTAGCCATCAAATAGACTACAATATGATGGAGAAATGGTCCGTTATTATAATGATCATTACTACATAATTTGTGCTTTTAATACTTGTATCAATGAACTTTCTGTTGATTAACTTCGCACGTCTAACATAATTATGTTGAGTCGCCTAACTCTGCGTAAACATTAACGACTTGATAAATAGACTCTGATCTGCACTCAGGACTTCATAACTACGTCGGGTATCATCCAACAACCCATCCGTGTGCATAATCCATTCCCATAGGGGTTTACTCTTGCTTCGAACAGCTTACTGGTAATTTCTCTGACTTCAACACTGAATGATTTAGGGTGGAAATTTTCTCAGTGTTGCAAATACAGTTTGCTGATAAGTGACAATGAGCTCGAAGTCTAGTTCTCACTATCTCAACCATTCTGAAGGCAGTCGGCATTGGGCAATAGAGTATTTATATTACCATTTCAAAAGTGAAAACCAGTTGAGCAACTCCGATTACCACCTTACAGCACTGGGAGGTAGTGTTTTTCTTCAGTACCTTTAGTTGTTAACTAGTATCATACATGGATGTTGACCGTAGTCTTTCTCCCAATTTCAGTTATTTGTTATCTTTTTACCTTCATTCCACCAACATTATTTTAACTCACACGATAAAGCAGCACCTTAAGAACCGATTTATAATCTTCAAAAACTCAGGAGTTGTTCCATTACAACTTACTGAAACTGTTATGAGTTACTGAACCAAATGACAGATGTAGTTAACCTAAACAGTTTTATTTCATAAGCTGAATTTTCCCAAATACATCTCTGATAAACACACCATCTAAAAATGAATAAAATCAGGAAATAGTTTACAGATATAGCTAGTATAACTGAAAAACAAATGTAGGTGTTGAACTGATGACATGTTTTTGCTTAGTGTCAAAAACTGTGATCTTGATCTAGTCAAACTTAATGAACCTGAATTCAACCTTATGTTTGATCAACAAGACACAGTATGGAAAAGTTTTGAACTGGAATAAATCAGTTGGTCACTATTTTATAGTTTCCAGTGTCTTTTAAGCAGAAGTCAGTTTGTCTTACAAAATATCTTCAAGTCGACCTATCCCTAAAGAAGGACTGGAGAATGCACTAATCATATCCATTTTCATTGTTTAAATCACTCACTGATCATATCGCTAATTCAAACTTTCTGGATGGACAGTAAATTACTGTGTAATAGAAAGCTGAATTTAATCAGGGCTTAGTCCTTGTCCACATTCTTCAACAATATTATATCAAATAATGACATTCCAAGGTACGCTAAATGATAGGTTTCCTCTAGATGATCAAATTTATTTGACTTATTATACTAATCTTGATGTCATTAGCTGGTGTCTTAAATGGTTAAAAGCAAAATTTGTAGCCTACAACTTTAAAGAAGGAAAAACAGCAACCTTAGCGTTTTCATAACAACATGAAGTCATCCACAAGAGAGCTGATAGATAAACTATTCATAAACCTCAAATATCACAGTAGTGTCTCAGAGGTTGGATATGAAGTTTCAAGAATACATTGCAAAACCGATTCAATACCCAACAAAGTTTCCTGGGTTAACTTTCAGGTAGGTAAAGAGAAAAGAGAAAATAAAACATGGTTTATCGTCAAACAAATATACCATTTAAAACTCCTACCTTTCTATGTACATACCTCATAAAGATAAGGCCAGAATGTTTTAACTAACACTTTTATAGAAATCACTCATCAGTTCCCATGTAAGACAAGTCCAAACCCTAAGGTCATTATTGTTATTTATGAACATACATGATATATTTTACAGTGCTATAGTAATATGAAACTGTAGATTCTTTATATTGAAGGCTTATCTTAGCAAAATGGAAATGACCCTAATCTGACCTTAAGTGCCCTATACTTGTCTTAGGAATCTTTTCAGTGTATGTATGCTTGATTACCAATGATTAGTTGATGATAGGAACAAGTATAAATCATTATTTTGAAACATAAGCTTCAGGCACGGGCGTTATTGTAATTTGACATTTAGGGATTAGTATCAACTAACAGGTTATCCTAAAATTGACCTCATTTCTTCACGAATTGGAGAAAAAATCAACTTGATTATATCCTACTGGCACTACTCTTCTGACATGGAATTTGGGTTATATTAAGGTAGTCTGTATTCACTGTTGTATTCAGTGGTAAACTATCCGTTTATTTCATAATAATGGGCATCTTCAATAGTATAGTCATGCAAAGGCTTCAAATAACGATGTAACTTAATTTTTGAAAACACCTTAACTTAGAACTTTGAGATGAATGAGGATTTTAATTTAGAGGTAGTATTCATCATGTAGCGATATCATCTGCAGAACCCCCAAACTGTAAGCCAACTGTTTCATCCTAGTATAAGTCTTCTCAGTAGCATGCACCCACGGTGAACGCATTAACTATTCAGCCACTGGGTCCTGAGTTCGATCCCTAGCCGGGTTGTGCGTGCATACTGCCGAGAAGTCCCACGCTAGGACGAAACAGCCGGCTTACAGTTTGGGGGTTATTCATGATGGCAACAACATGAGTTATTACCACTCCTTTCTTCCAAAAATTTATAAGTCATACTATTATATTGATATTTCTAGGCAGTTGTCATCATGGGTTAACCTTAAACAGATAAATATCGGGAAGAAAGGACCACCTGACTGTTGTTTCTTTCTAATTGAACGTGAACAAATTTAAATATCATGACAAAAGCGCATGTACGATATTCGGTGATAGTTATGTAATCAATCTACTAAAGTTGAGAAGTGCTGATTATTGAATTCCTACCCAGTAATTGAATGATAACAAGCGTACTGTGAAGTCTAGTAGCCCTTCCCTACGTCTTAAATGACTTAGTGACTAAGCATTATCGTAAACTCACAAACTAAGATGGCAAGTTTAACCAGTGATACATATTTCTGAATAATTCTGCAAATGAAAAAATCTGTCTTGAGGTCCGAAAATCCGCAAACCTCATTACTGGACAATGTAATTTATAGGTTTATTTATTTGTCTGTAAGAATGTTATAAAGAAAACAAAATATGATTCGTAAACAATTAAAAAACAAAATAGTATTCACCACTTACTGATATCATATGAGGAACTAATGAAAACCTGGGGCGTTGAACAGCTGTTTGAACCGAATATGAGACTCTTCAGTAGCCCTAATTCTTGATCCCACCACGGAGTGAACTAAGCACCATTAGGTCTTGCAGGGAACGCGTTACCATTCAGCCACTCAGTCTGAATCTAGCGATCTGAATTTTTCTGCTAATGTTAATTTGCGATTTAGTCCTATGATCATCAGATGCCGTTGGCCAATATTTTCACTTCTACCACTTTGGTTGGTACGTACTGCTGAGGAGTCCCGTACCTAGACAAAACAGCTGTCCACCACTCCCAGGTTTCCCAGTGGTTCTTCAGTCGATGTAGTATGTCAGATATTCCCACTCCAATATTTTCCTCTTTAGTACTTTACTTACAACCACCATTACAATTAACCTTCAATTTATTAATGCATTTACTTTCTTACTGACTCAACTACTCTCTGTCATATCATGAAGAGATTAAAAAAATCTTGAATTTGCTACTTTTATTTCGTTTTTCTATAACACCTAGTTATACACCTCTGGCTTATTGTATTAGGCGCTGGACTTTATGTCAGCGATGAACGGATTTTAACTCTCTCCCCCCCCCCATGTGCCAACTATAGAGGTTCATGAAGTCAGGGAGTGTCATAACCCTAAAGCAATTATCGTGTAAGTCAATACCTGGCAAGCGGTCATGCACGAAGTTATACTTTCGGGATTCAGCAGTCTGCTTTGCAGTTTTGGACTTCACTTTCGCCGCAAGCAGTTAGAATATATCATTCATTATCGTTTTTAAATAACTTCTATGATATAAGATGGTTCTCAGTTGATAAAAAGCCTGGAAAAAAATGAATTCATTTTGGTCAATGAACCTTTCTGTCTTTTTATGGTTAAACGATAATAACTTATAGACTAGATCTGAATTACAAAAATATCACCTTGTTTAAAAATGTGTCCAGAACCTTCACATGACATAACATAAAAATTTACTTTTATTATCGTCATAAGTGTTTCAATCAGTGATACTACATTCTTAAGAACATGTGACAGAAGTCTAATAAACTGGTTAGAACAAGATTTAGAAAATCTGTAATACAATACAGCCGCCATCTGATAATAGTAAATGAGAAGAAATGATTTGACTCAGATTCGAATCAAGTTATTAAACTTGCTCAGTTTGAGTCCATTCCATACAAGGCTGACGGTGAGGATTTCTCAAGGGTTAAAACTAAGATTCAGCAAATGCTCAGTTTACCTTCATTAAAAGGTGATTCCGTGACTGACAGCAGTTCATTATTTAAAATATCTTCAAATAAGAGACGTCTCATGACGAGTGGTACCTAGCCTATTAGCCTACCGAAATTTTACTCGATAACCCAGAAATTTCTGGTACTGATAAATCTCTCAATGGTAATTGTTACGTGTACTATAGTGAATAAGGTTTAACTATTATAAGTATTTGTTCCTTTACCTATTGTTGAACCTCATTTACTGCCTGTTTTGCCTCAATTGCGAGGTTGTTTGAGTTTGGGATTTTATACAGGATAAGAATTACATGTTATGTTTTCCTATTTATATCTTAGTTTACAAATTCCGTAGGACCTTAGAATCTGTCCCACATTGAGCTGATCTTAAATAAGCTCGAAATGGCCAGTTATAATGGAAAAAGAAGTGTATTGTTCTTGGATAGTAATATTAATTTAAAGTAGACAAAAATCAGATCGCCAGCTATCAATAGGATGACATACTTTTGTGTGGATGCCAAAGTTAGATTTCCTCGAAATCAACGGAATTCCATGCAGTCCACTGCCAACATGGACGCTATATATCATCGTTCGCGGCTGATCATCTATTTTTATTTCAACAGATATTTCGAATAAGAAACGTCTAAGGATCACTAAAAAATGTAAACCATAGGAAATTCCCTGCAATGGATCGTAAGATCAAATGATATGTAGTAATGTGAACCAGAATCTAAACCGTGCACACTTTGAATTCAAGCATAATAAACCAACCCGAAACCTAGAAAGATTCGTCAACAGTGTAAAATAATGATACTTTTAGTAACTTTCGATTTTCCTGACATAAAAATCGTACATTTTAAACTTTCTTTTTCTCATACGCAAGCTGGTGTAAGTTCAAGATCACCTTAGATCAAACAGACAGAGATAAAATCAATATAGGACCTAGCATTACTGCGAAACAATCCAAGTTACCACAACTTGTATCCCCAGATCAAGCGAAAACCCACTAAAATGAAAGACAAAGAAATAAAGAAGAAAGTAGTCAAAGTGGTAGAAATTAGTAAACAGAGAGAAACTAGGGATAAGAAAATACCGAATTCACCATGACGATTAAAATAATATGTGAATACATCTGCGCCACTGATATCGACTGTGAGCCATGTCACCCAGAGTCTCCAACTACTGGTTTATGTTGTCACGAGGACCCCAACCTTGAAATTTCTATATCCATACATAACTCAGACCAACAGTTAAAGACTTCATGCACTAATGCCATGTTTCAATCTGTCGCTGCGAGACTTTTTCCAGCCTGAAACTTATTTCAGGCAACATGGTGCGACGTGGCAGACAGTGACTAGATATAAGTAATACATATCCCAGACACCTAAGTCGATGAAGGTTCACAACCTTACCAACTAACTCTCCTCTCTTCCCTGAAACTCTTCACCTGACTTCCATTTTATTTAAGCAGTGACATTATGATACAACCTGTTCTATGAAGGCAACAGAGGTCAGACACAGGAGGCCTTCTTTTATCCCCTACCTTCAATGTCCATGTTTCACAATCATACATTACAATATACAGAACTGTGGAGCAGTAACCTTGACTCTGAATAGACAATAAGATGTCACCACGACGCCATAAATGGTGTGAGTTAGTGAAAGCCAGACGAGACTCTGGAATCCGTACGCAGATTTTGTCGGACGCTGACCCATCAGAGCTGATGCTAATTCTCAGGTAAGTGGGGTGGTCAAAGTATTCATTAATTCTACTCCCTGTTGTTGGACAAGGCACCAGAGGAAACCAGTCACCGAGAAGCAGTGTGCCCTGGGGTGATGGGAAAAGCATCCCTAGTGTTCTCAAATTCCCACTCAATGTGTCTGAACGACTGTTATTATGTTCAGTGTCTTCACCTAACAGGACTACTTCATCTGAATTCTCTAGACTTACTTAGGTTTCTTCCGTGACAAGTCAGACAAAAAGGGGGAAGCTTCTATAGGTACGTCCATGATAAAATAAAAATGGAGAAAGTGGACATCGTTGAGGAACACTTTTGAACGAACACGCCTCCCTTAATACTTCATAATATGCTCTAGCAAACCCACAAGTGTTTGGGTGTAGAGGCTTGGGCGAAGTAATCCTCTCACTTAATGCCACTTTCAGTGAGAGACGTCGCCATAAAACCTCTCGGTCTACAGAGCTGGATGTCACCTCTACACCAACAGAAACGAGTTGTGTCGGATGCCAGGAAGTAAGGCTGTTACAGTACCTGATGAAGTCTTAATATTTGGTCGATACATCGATGAACAAGTCTGAAAACCCTCTGACTTACTTGGGTTTCTTATACTCAGGCTCCTCCTGGACGTCTGTAAATTATAGAGCCTAGAATCTCAGGTACTACGTTCATAAGGCTAATTTCCCTCTACAATCTTAGTGACCACTTAATTTTTCACCCCATTTTCCCCAATAACTATAAATAGCTACCTATTATTACCTAACAGCGTGACCTCATCATCTACTCAGCCTCCGCTGCCCACCACTGTTCTCAGTCATTTCGTAGACTTCTTGTCAGTCCATATTTGAGTTACTTACAATCTTCATGGTATTCATAGCCTACAATAATGCATTCACATGCATCCATTAATTAAGAAGAAGCTGTTGACATCCACTGGCTCTTTTTAACCACTTCTGAGAGTCAGCGACGGTATTCAACAATGTTTCCAAAGCAGACTGGGGAGGGCACAAAGCCTCTTCGGGATGTGTGACAGTGTCCTGTTTCGATAACTCGCTGGCCAGTTCCTCATTGAAAGCAACCCTAGTATTCTCATCATCCAGCTCAACTCACAATGGTTTTGGTGCTATAGTTTTCTACGTTCATTTACGCGTAGATAAACGTACATGCGCTCGAACCAACGCGTGGTGTTTTCCCAATCATATGCTTAAGAAAGAAAAAGAAATCTTTTGCCAACTCTCCCCAGCGACAACTGATAGCATCATGATCTATTTGTGCCCACCGTTTAGTTGAAGTCTCTTTTTATATCCGAAGTCGATGCTGGCGAGAAATAGGTGGTTGTCTGGTCACAGGTAAATCAAACGGTTGCTATTATCTATCCATTCGGCTGGGATTCCGTATGTATGACTTAGTCCACCCACTTATGCAGTGAAATCACCTTCCATCACAACTGCTTCTGAAGGTTTGAATTTCAGAAAAAAGCTGGACAGTTTTCGATAGACCTCATCCTTCATTTCATCTAAGCTGCAGTAAGTGAGTGTGTTAGCAGTGATAACAAAAAGACAACGGCGAGTGCTCTTAATTAAACAGAGCATAGGAACTGTCAACTCTGATCAGTCAATCAGTAAACTTTTTGTCTTGGCACTTAATGCTGTACCTACACCTGCAAGACCACTAGAGCTGGTCATAAAACTTCCATAAACTCAAATTGTGAATCTAACGGATTCCTCATACTGGCTGGGTGAGGTTGAGTGAATAACCGTGTTTGGGTCCTGTATGTGTGTCCCACAAACAGCACACGTTCATAGAGCTAGATGCCAGACTTTCATCTAGCATAGTTTGTTCAGCTGTTTGACAGAGTATGGGGATGTTAAAAGCCATAATGAGTAGTTTGGAGTGCGACTTCAAGAGATCAGAGATGCTGTTGCGTGAACTCGGATCATTATTGAGAGATGCAGATCTAGAATAAGTTAAAGATGATGAAGGATTGATGATTGAGAGATGTGAAGGAAGATTAGGAAGTAAAGATGTGGGAAGTGGACGAATATCTAACGGAACTTGAAGACTGCAGAGTTGGGAGGGCAGTTGACACTTCTGGGTTGCCTACACCATGAAACGCTAGGTATTTTGAGGTACCCGAAAAAGAGGGATTATTACATGACTCCAGAGCTGAAGAGACATGTGCTTGGGGTAGGCCACATATGGCCTTTTCGCAAGTCTGAGATTTAGTTTTGTTTCATTCGAGTCCAACTATGAGCCCATGTTACAAGCATCAGGATGCAGCCAGGTGATAGGAGTGTTCTATTTTAGAGGCCAAACACTTCCAAACTCACTGCCCATAGGGAAGACAGCATCAGCGCGCCACTGCTGGTCATCCTTGCTGCTGTCACACACCAGTCAGCTAGCAGTACAATTTTTCCCTGGAACTCCCATCACAGTGTAGCAGTTTATAGCACAGGACTAACTACTTTTTGTCTTACCACTATCTAACCAACCGTTCTAATACTATATGACCTCAAAGGAACAAGTGTTCCACCAGAACAGCTAATCGAGTCAATGTGAAATACAAGCCAAACTACCACGTCAAGGTGACAAGTATCGCGAGTAGCGCTTCATAGTTTTATTCCGAAATAAGAATAAGATAAATTTCTGTTGAGCTGATGTTCATGAAAGTAACACACTAGTCAAATTTTTAACGACCTGTTCATCTATACTATTCTAACTAGTTTAATTAACATTCTTAAGCAAATATTGACCTAAACTGTCTGCTTTTCCGATATAATTATCCACAAACTATAGTAAAGTTGAAAGAAGAAAACTAGGTTCAGTAATTGCCTCATTCATATTTACTATAATATTAAAGATGTAGTCTATGGATATGGTCACTTTAAATTGCTGATAATTAAACTTTATGCTTTTTAACTATGCCAGAAAAACCGAATGCCTTACTGATGAACTATATTGGTGAATAATTCCATTCAATAACTGGATTTATAGACATCATCCAATCCGCTAGCCTTGATGGTGATCAAAGAATATCGATTGAGATATACGGCTTAGGGATTAGGCTAAGCATAACTTTATGTCATCCTGGTCGATGTATGGTTGATAGACAACCAGCTATAGTTTTCAC